TTTTTTCTCCTCTCTCAACTCTGCTTCCATTTTTCTTTTTTAAAAATTTGTTCATTACAATTTTCAAATTTGTGGGCATAAAGTTTCCTATGATATCTTTTTTTTTTTTTAAATGTAGGTTTCATTGTGATGTCCTTTTTGATTTCTTATATCGTGTCTTCTCTATGTTAATTGGTCTTGTCTTTTATTGATCTTCAAAGTGCCACCTTTTGGTACTGTTGGTTTATTGATTGTAGATTTATTTTCTATTTTACTAATTTCTGCTGTTTTTTTCTTTCTTCTTAGAGTTAGATGGAATTTTCTGATTATTTTCTAAATTATTTAGATAAATTCTTTTTAAAATTTTTTATTTCAATAAGTTTTGTGGAACAGGTGGTGTTAGGTTACACAAATAAGTTCTTTAGCGGTGATTTCTGACATGGTGGTGCACTCATCATTTGAGCAGTGTACACCGTACCCCAGGTGTAGTCTTTTATCCCTCACCATCCCCGACCCTTTCCTCCAAGTCCCCAGATCCAATGGATTACTGTTATGCCTTTGCCTCCTCATAGCTTAGTTCCCACATATGAGTGAGAACATACAATGTTTGGTTTTCCATTCCTGAGTTACTTCACTTAGAATAATAGTCTCCAGGCTGGATGCAGTGGTTCACGCCTGTAATCCCAGCACTTTGGGAGGCCGAGGCAGGTGAATCACCTGAGGTCAGGAGTTTGAGACCAGCCTGACCAACATGGAGAAACCCCATCTCAAAAAAAAAAAAAAAAAAAAAAAAAAAAAAAAACCAAGTCTCCAATTCCATCCAGGTTGCTGTGAATGCCATTATTTGGTTCCTTTTTATGGCTGAGAAGTATTCCATGGTGTGCGTGCATGTGTGTGTGTGTGTATATAAGGTAGGTTTGATTGTGATGACATTTTCTTTACTCGTTGATTGATGGGCACTTGGGCTGGTTTCACATTTTTGCAATTGCAAATTGTGCTGCCATAAACATGCATGTGCTATAAACAGATTCTTAGATCACTGGCTTTCGCTTTTTTCTTTTTGAATATCTGAATTTTAAAGTTATAAGTTTTATTCTAAGCTTGGCTTTAAATAAATCCCACAAATTTTGAAATGTAGAAGTTTAATAATGGCTTAATTCAAAATCTTTTCTAATTTTCCTTGTGATTTCTGCTTTGACCTATGGATATAATAAGCATATTGCTTAACTTCCAAACATATGGGGATTTTTCTCCTTAACTTATTGCTATTTATTTTTAGTTTTAACTGTAGTTGGAGAAAACGCTCTAATCTTGGTATTGCAAATTCTCAGTATCTTGGTAGCTCTCCAATGTCCTAAAAAATGTTTTTATATTTGTCTCAGCTTTCTAGTTGTTTCAGAAACAATTTTGATACAGAGTAACCTGCCAGCTATTGTCAGAAACATAAAATCCCACCAGTGATAATTTAATTAACTGTGACATCATCACAATCTGTAGATCACCAGTATCCTATTTTCCATTAGCAAAAAACACAAAAAAACAAACAACCCTCTTCTGCTGAGAATAGGTTTGGTTAAATGTTTTTGGTGTCATGGGTTTGTTATTTTTTTCTGAGACTTATTTGAAGAGTAATGTCAACTGTCCCAGGCAGACTCAAATCGACCCTAATTGTCAAGCTCTCAAGAAAAGGCAGTTCCCCTGAGTCCCCATGGCTCCCATTCCAAGACTGAGCCCCTCGGCCACAGCCTAAGGCTACTTTCTCTCCTTTCCTTCACAGATATGAACACTAGCTGGTCGCTAACTGTCAGATAACTACCAAGGTACTGGATTCCACGATGGTGAACCTGCTTCTCAGCCTTCTCCCTACGATAAGCTCCTCAGCTTTAACCTTTTCTCATGGGCCCTAAGTTTGCCTCACCCCTAATCACTGCTCAAGAAAAATGAAACCGAATACAGCACGGAGTTTACCAGTGAGACAATGAGAGGAACCATTTCCCCCTAGTTTCCTGCGTTCTGCTGTAACACAGGGCTGGTAGCCGCGTCTTCATAAGTATTTCATTACAATGAAGAAAACACAGTTCTTCCTGGAATGAGATGCCTGTTGAGGTGTGACCAACATAATGATGTCATGCCCAGGGGAGGAAAAGGAATATCCTAGGGTTTGAAACCAGCTCCCTTGGCAGATGAAGTCAGCAGAGCAAGAATTTTGCCAGCACAACCAGTGATCAACACACGAGGTCAATATGGATATGGCCTTTGGTTCAATGAGATTCCAAGTCCTGGGAATACCAAGAAGTAGCGTAGATGATTTTGGAGCCACCAGATACCTACAGTGTTGTCTTACACATCACAAGCAGTAAGTAAACTTTCCAGTTGACACAGAGAGGGAGTTTCCTTAGCCTCTTTCCCTTATGTGAATTTGAAGCTGCTGGTCAAAGTAGCGATGTGGCAGTTTACCCAAGTTCCGCCCTTGGTTTTCCACTTCTGTTAGGGTCTTTGAGGGATTCCAACAGACAACGTTCCCTTCACTGCCCGATTTATGAACCAATTAAGAAACAAAGCAGGTCTGGGCACAGGGGCTCATACCCGGAATCCCAGCACTTTGGGAGGCTGAGGTGAGAGGACTGCTTGAGGCCAAGGAGTTTGAGACCAGCCTGGGTAATATAGCGAGACCTCTTCTCAACAAAAAATAAAAAATTAGCCAAGTGTGGTGGTTCACAGCTGTAGTTCCAGCTACTCAAGAGGCCATGGGAGGAGGATTGCTTGAGCTTGGGAGGGTGAGGCTGCAGTGAGCTGTGATCATGCCACTGCATTCAGCTTGGGTGCTAGAATAAGACCCTGTCTCAAGAAGGAAAAGAAAGATAGAAACTAAGTGAGAAAGATGACAAGTGGAGGCTATAATACCACTTTCTTTTTTTTTTTTCCTTAAAGATGGGGTTTCACCATGTTGGTCAGGCTGGTCTTGAACTCCAACCTCAGATGATCCGCCAGCCTTGGCCTCCAAAGTGCTTGGATTACAGGCGTGAGCCACCGTGCCCAGCCTTCTAATACCATTTTCTTATGCTGACATTGAAGAGGTAGCTTGTATCTGTGAGCAAATAAACCTCCCAATACTGAACCCCTCACAGCAGCCTGGCCTATGGCAGCCTCCCACCCTAGACCTGCCCTGCTCCTGCGCAGCCTGACTCCTGCCCTCTGATGGCAGGCTAGCTCTCAAGGAGGAAACCAGAGTGGGGGGCTGAGCCAACCACACCGGTTTGATCTCTCTAAATTTCCTATCAGCTAAATCACTCCATCTTCTCCAAGCAGAGGCAGAGACAGAGCTGGATGTTATATAAACAGAGCCCCTTCCTCCTGAAAGAACCATCCGATGTGGGAAATAAGTTACTTCCAAATCCTACCTACCCTGGTGCCTTAGCTCCCTTTGGGACTGTGGTCTTGAGTCCCTCACCACTGCACATCCAAACATCCTTGGAGATCTTTCATGGAGATGGTAAAGTGTGTGTGCATGAGCAGGCATATATGTGTGCATGTATGTGAAGATGAACAAACGTACATATATGTGTGCAAATGTATCAGAGTTTGCATGTGTATGTGTATACAGGTTTGCCTGTGGAGCACGTGTGTGTGTGCATTGTGAGTACAAGTATACATGAATGTGTGCAGGTGCACAGGTATAGGCGTGCATGTGTGATGCTCATGTGTTCAGAAGCGCCTATAGTATAATAGGTGTATGTGTAAATATCAAGCTTTGGAACCCGGCTTTCCGGTTCCATGTTTGGGCAGATTCATTCCAAGAAACATTCCTTGAGTACTTGTATTGACCAATGACTGTGGCAACCGTAAGGAGGAGTGTTACATTTCTCTGGATGCAAAAGGCTTGTAAGCAAGTAGAAAAGACAGACACATAAGAAGCCCTATGAGATCCAAGACGAAAGATACTAAACGCCATTGTTGTAACACAAGGAGGAGAATTGTTCTGACTCGCTGGATGGCAAAAATGTTTGCGGTCAGCTTGAGAGAAGAGAAGAGGTGACAGGAGGGCTGTTTAGGCACAGGAATAACATGAGCTCAGGCCACAGGGAGAAACACAGGGTCTGTTTAAGCAAGGAGTCACTTGCTGTGCCAGGCACAGAAATTAACACGAGAGTTACAACATCAGATCAGATCAAGAATAACATCTGGCCATTCCTCACCATATTTCACAGGGCACATGCTGATGAAGGAGGGGGATGAACTTAGTGGGGAAGTTGGACTATTGTAGTAAGAAGTGTGAACTTCCTTTCTTAAGGCAAAGGGAAGCCACTGTGTTTGGGTGAGAAGGGGAAGGCAAGGGTGGGTTTGGGAATTCCAGGGTCAAGGAGCTATTGCCTTGGTCTACGTGAGCGATAACGAGGCGTCACATTTTACAGATATGCTCAATGGTTTTCTATTAGGGTGAAGGGAGGTTTTCCAAATCTGGCGACGGGCCTTATGACGGTGTCACTAACAGGGCTGAGAAGGAAGTGGATGATGAGGTAAAGAAGATGAACTTAAATTTCAACTACTCCATCTCCCCTGATAATCACTCAGTGCTACCCTTCGTGCACCCAACCCCCACACAGATGTTGACTTTTGGAAACTGTGTCCTCTTGCTGGCTAGGCATCAAAGAATGAGTATCATCCTGTCACCATGGCCTCATCTTCCAGAGAAAACTTTTCACTTCTGGAGGAAGCTGATGTCTCTTTCATCTGGAAGCTTTTATCTCTAATAATATTATCTCTACAGTTTTAACTCAAGAAGGGCCTCGGCTTGAGTCCTGAGCTGCAGCCCTGAGGAAGCAGGTTCCAAAACAAAGGAGGGACTGCCCTTTCTCTGGTCTTCTTGCCCAAACAATAGCAAGCTACCTTCTGGAAACTACAGTGCGCATGTCCAGTGGTGCATGACCTGACAGTGAGATGAAGGGACTCAAAACCACATTTTTCGTGTCAAGGTACATTTGTGAGTTAAGTTCCAGGACAGGACAGGCTGCAGAGGAGCTCTAACCAATAGCTGGGACCTCGAGGCTGTCGGCGGGGAAGCCTCGGTGCCGCAGCAGCATAGAGGCCTGGGGCTGCAGAATTCCGCAGGACTGGGGCTTACATGTGTGATGAAGTTGGAAAGGCAAACACAACAGCCACTGAAGTGGATTCCAAGAACAAAAATGATTCACCAGAAATACACCAGGACACAGGCAGCTAAAGCCAACAGCGGGGTGGATTGAAAAATCAGATGTAGCCAGGCACAGTGGCTCATGCTAATAATCCCAATACTTTGGGAGGCCAAGGCAGGTGGATCACTTGAGCTCAGGAGTTCGAGACCAGCCTGGGCAACATGGCAAGACTCCATCTCTATAAAACATACAACAATTATCTAGGCATGTTAATGTGTACTTGGGAGGCTGAGGTGGGAGGATCACTTAAGCCTGGGAGGTTGAGGCTGCTGTGAGTCATGATTACACCACTGCACTGGAGCCTGGGTGACAGAGTGAGACCTTGCCTCAAAAATAAAAAAAAACGGAAAAACCAAACCTCAAATACTGCAAAGACACATGGACACGTGGCTTTAAGGGTTGAGGAGCAATGTCAGAAAGCGGTACAGTCACTGGGGTTCTTTATCTGGAGAAGAGGTGATAGCTGTTACCTAAATCATAAGCTACTGGAAGGCAGAGAATACGGATCTGATGTCTTGATTAGCAGGCAATAAATGGATATTGGCTGATTGATCACTTACTTAAGTAAGCCCTTCAAAGGGAGATTCTCTTAATTGCTACCTCCTACCTCAGAATGGCTTTGATTTTCTCATTTCTCACCCCCCCCACCCCCCCCCCGCAGCTATTATTGCCTAAGCAAACTAAGGCTGTTGCTATTTCAGCATCATTGCTAAGAAGGGCATTGAAATACCTTTATGTCAGGCTGAGCTCACTCATCCAGATTAATTCCCTAGATGTCCAGCATATTTTCTGGTAAAGTCACCTTTTGGTCGGAACAAAAAGCAGATAACTCACTTTATCTGTGAGCTTTTTATCTTGTTGACAAACCAAAATTCTTATCCATTTCCATTTCTGTGGCAATTTAAGAAATTGCTAGCAGAAGAAATGTGGACTTTGGAAGGACACATTAAGCCTGCACTTGGCTTCTTGCTATCATGTAAATGCCCTAGTGTCCTGGCAGTTTCTGATTCGGTTCTGGGGGATTACAGAAACATGATTACTGGTTTGAAGGAGGTGGCTGATTTCCACTTATATTTATAGAAACTTCGAGAATGATCTCCAAAGCTCAAGAGTTCAAGAAGACATTGAGAATCTTAGTGATTGAGAGGACATTTGGGTTCACCTAAACCAGGGGCCCCAACCCCCAGGCCATGGACCAGTACTGGTCTGCAGCCTGTAAGGAACAGGCCAAACAGGAGGTGAGCGGTGGGTGAGTGAGCATGCCCGCCTGAACTCCGCCTCCTGTCAGATCAGCAGTGGCATTAGATTCTCATAGGAGTGCAAACCCTATTGTGAACTGCGCTTTCGAAGGATCTAGGCTACATGCTCCTTGTGAGAACCTAATACCTGATGATCTGAGGTGGATCAGTTTCATCCAGAAACCATCACCCCCAACCAACACGTCCGAGGAAAAATTGTCTTCCACAAAACCCGTCCCTGGTGCCAAAAGGGTTGGGGACTGCTGATCTAAACACCTTCTGTGTCAGAGTGTGGCTTGCCTAAGATTCTTTGACTAAGTGGCATGTTGGTGCTTTGAACTGAGCAACTGAGAATCTACTTTGTCAAGCCTTCTCATCCACGAAGTACTTGGCAGGATCGAGATATTTAAAATGAATGCAAGCCAGGTGCAGTGGCTCATGCCTGTAATTCCAGCACTTTGGGAGGCTGAGGCAGGTGGATCACCTGATATCAGGAGTACGAGTCCAGCCTGGCCAACATGGCAAAACCCCATCTCTACTAACAATACAGAATTAGCTGGGTGTGGTGGTGCATGCCTGTAATCCCAGCTACTCAGGAGGCTGAGGCAGGAGAATCGCTTGAACCCGGGAGGTGGAGGTTGTGGTGAGACGAGATCATGCCATTGCACTCCAGCCTGGGCAACAAGAGAGCAACTCTGTCTCAAAAAAAAAAAAAAAAAAAAAAAAAAAAAAAACAATGCAAAAAACAGTGGGGGTAAGGCCGGGCAGGGTGGCACACATCTGTAATCCTAGCACTTTGGGAGGCCGAGGCAGGCAGATCATAAGGTCAAGAGATCAAGAACATCCTGGCCACCATAATGAAACCCCATCTCTCCTAAAAATGCAAAAATTAGCTAGGCATGGTAGCGTGCACCTGTAGTCCCAGCTGCTCCAGAGGCTGAGGCAGGAGAATCAGTAGCAAAGTTTGCAGTGAGCCGAGATCATGCCACTGCACTCCAGCCTGGCAATAGAGCAAGACTCCATCTCAAAAAAAAGGAGGGGAGGGCATTAAAAAATGCAGTAAAAAAGCAATGAAAACAAAAAACATAAAAATAAGGAAAGATTTTTTTTTTTTATTTATGTTTTTTGAGACAGGGTCTTGCTCTGTCACCCAGGCTGGAGTGCACTGGCACAATCACAGCTCACTGCAGCCTCACCTCCTGGGCTCCAGTGATCGTCTGACCTCAGCTTCCTGAGTAGCTGGGACTTCAGGCTCACGTCAGCATGTCCAGCTAATTGTTTATTTTTTCAACATGGTGAGATCCCCTGTTGCCCAGGCTGGTCTTGAACTCCTGAGTTCAAGCAATCTGCCCATCTCAGATTTTTCAAAATGCTGAGATTACAGGCATGAGCCACCATGCCAGGACTGGAAAAAAGTCTTCAACAACAACAACAAAATAATGCACTTCGTGTTTGCTTTCTAGACTGGGTAATCACTCTGCTAAACATGTTGATGTGTCCAGAAGACAAAGCATTCTCAAACTGTCGAAACATGTGTTTCTCAAAAGGTTCATTCTATTCTTTCTTCTAGGCAAAAATGACAAGCAGTTATCTTTTTCTGAGCAAATAATGACAGCCCCTAGCACCCAACATTATGAAAATTCAGGTATATTAAGTTTAGCCCTTCATCTGTCTCAGTTTTTATTCCTTAGAACAAAGGAAAATTACAGGCACAGTGCTGACAACGGAGATGTGAGCTTTTTTTCCCCTTTGGTTTTTTTGTTGCTAGGGTGTAAGTCCATGTGTGTCATAAAACTCTCTCCCATCTGGCTGGTTTTCGAAACTTCTCTGGGTCCCAGTTCTTACAGATGAGCAATTAATTCTCTCTAACACTTGGGAGCTGTTGAAATGAAGGAGATTTCAGAGAGAATAGCTCATGACCTTATGCCTTTGTGTGTTTTACTGAGAGCTGACCTCCTGCATTACTGGGGAAGAAAAATCTATTAAAATCTCTTGAGTGAATACTTCAGCAGGCTGATTTCATTTTGAACCAAATCATTTGGTGCATTTTAGAAGGCATGATAAATGATGTCATCTCAAATATTAATATAAACCCTGGATAACATGCTTTTTACTCAGATTCAGTTTTATTACAATATTGCAAGAACTCCATTAGGCCACACCTACACCATTTGAAGTCTGGTGAAACGCAAGGGTGAAGGAGCAACACTACTTGATATTGTCAAATCTCCAGAAGTAGAGGGTATTAGAAATTAACCTGACAGCAACAAAACCACACACGGTTGTGGGAGAAAAACTCTAATAAAGGATATAAAAGAACAAATAAGTAAACAGAGATATATATCATGTCTAATGGATGGACAAACAGCACAGAATAGATGTTAATGCTCCTTAAATTAATGTCTACGTCAATATCATTTTAACCAGAATCTCAAGATGATGCGTAAATTGGAATAATTAATTCTAAAATGTATAAAGAAAAGTCCACAAATAGCCAAGGGAATTCTGAGAAACAAAAGCAAAGAAGCACTAGCTCTATTCGACAGTAACCCACATTAAAAAGCATACACATACGGCAAGATAATACGCAGAGCAGGAAGTTTAGAAACAGAATCATGTGGCCAGGCATGGTAGCTCATGCCTCTAATCTCAGTTCTTTGGGAGGCTGAGATCAGCCTGGCCAACATGGCAAAACCCTGTCTCTACTAAAAATACAAAAATTACCTGGGCATGGTGGCAGGTGCCTGTAATCCCAGCTACTCAGGAGGCTGAAGCAGGAGAATCGCTTGAACCTGGGAAGTGGAGGTTGCAGTGAACCGAGATGGGGCCACTGAGCTCCAGCCTGGGGAACAGAGTGAAACTGTGTCTCAAAAATAAAAATAAAAATAAAAATAAAAAAGAATAGCACAATGGAAAGAGATGTTCAGGTTTGGTATAGCAGGGACTAAATTTCCAACAAAGGAAACTGTGTATATGAAAGAGAGAAATCCCTAAAACAATAAGGACCCATCGCCAACCTCAAAGCCTATCGATTGGAAGCGCAACCATTCACCAGATGGCTCAGCTTGATTTCCCAGAATGCAAGACAATCCCATGAAGGAAAACAAGCTGATTTTAAAAATTAGAAACAACTCAACTAACTAGGATTTTCTTTTAGTTTGGTTTGGTTTGCTTTTTACTTTAATTATTCCATAAGGTCCAATTGCTGTAATGTAAGAATCCTAAATGGGTAAAGTTGGAGGCCAAATTAAATATTAAGAAGACCTGGGGAGGAGCCGGGCACAGTGGCTTATGCCTGCAATCCCAGAACTTTGGGAGGCCAAGGCAGGTGGATCATTTGAGGTCAGGAGTTTGACACCAGCCTGGCCAACATGGTGAAGCCCGTCTCTACTGAAAACACAAAAAAATTAGCTAAGTGGGGTAGTGGGCACCTGTAATCCCAGCTACTCGGGAGGCTGAGACAGAATCGCTTGAACCCGGGAGGTGGAGGTTGCAGTGAGCCAAGATAGTGCCACCGCACTCCAGCCTGGGTGACGGAGCAAGACTCGGTCTGAAAACAAACAAACAAACAAACAAACAAACAAAACCCCACATGCAACTCTGGAAATCTCAGAATGATTAATGGGAAGAAAAGTAGGGTGGACCAGTCTGTTGGAGTAATAGGATTACAGGGAATTTTTCTCCTTGTTTTAAATTTTTAATATTGCTATTATTAAATTAAGCAATAAATAATCTCTTCTAAATGCAAACATGCCTTAGGGAAAAACAAACAAACATGCTAACCTTTCCTCTACATCACGCTTTGGGGAAGCTTCACTGGTTCCTTAAGGAGACTATAATCAAACCACTTTTTCTTGCTCATCATAAGGTTTATGGGCAAAAGAGGACAAGAAAAATAATTACAGCCATAATTAGTGGGTAGATGAAAACAGAGTCCTAGGGTTGGAAGGAATCTTGGAAATATGTTTTGCCCATCCCCTCAGCTCTCGGGCCACACCTAAACTCTTCAAGCCCTCAGGAATTCACTGTGCTGAACGCCGCCAAGGACAATGCCTAATCTGTCTTAGAAACTCATTCTAGTGTCTAAGAATACTTACTGTCAGGAAATTCGGCTTCGAGAGTACATTCAGGCTCCACTCCCACCCATTTCCTCTGGCTCTGATTTCGGGTGGAGATGGACCGCAGCTGGACACACATTCAAGCACACCCAGCAAACACACGTGAAGGTTGTTACCAAAATAGCCCCTTCCCATCCCCACCTCAGCTTTCTCTGCTCTGAGTTAAATGATCCCAACCCCTGTCTGGGTTAAATGACCCCAGAAATCTCTCTTGATCAGTTTCATTCTCTGAACTTAGACCTACCTGTGCCTAATCTTTGACCAACAGTGCAGTAAGGGGTACATCACCACTACCTCTAGGGCAACCAGCTGTCCCAGCTTGTCAGAAGCTGCCAGGGTTGTGGGACTTTTAGTGCTAAAACTGGGAAAGTCCCAGGCAAACTGAGATGCATTGGCCTAGCTGGCTCTCTCTGGCGGAAAAAAAAAAACACGCAACCACCAGAGGAATGATCTTCAGTGCTAAAATGGAACGTTTTAATTAATGAAGGATGTGTCATGAATGTGGAGACAGAGAGAACCATCTCTGTTCTCTATGTCTGCTATGGTTTGAAGGCCCCTTCCAAAACTCATGTTGAGATATAAGGGCCCTTGGACCACCAGGTAGAAGTCTTTAGAGAGGTGATTAGGTCATGAGCGCTCTGCCCTTCATGAGTGGATTAATGCCGTTATTGAGGGAATGGTTAGTTATCACCTGTGTTGATTCCTGATTAAAAGAATGAGTTTGGCTGGGTGCGGTGGCTCACTGAATGCCACCCTGCATGCCATTCTCCTCACTTCTCCCCTTTTGCCAATGAATGCTGAAAACTTTGTTACAGTCTGGTGCCAGCTCTTACCCTAGCATTTGGGAGGTACCGCTTTAGTGAACCTGAGAGTTGAGCCGTGCAGTTCTGTGGAAAAATACTGGAAAGCTAAGATTTGTCGAGCACTGACCACATGGCCTGCCCCGTGCACAGTCATTATCTCATGAAATCACCTCAATAACCCAATTCTAGTTAGTCCTCCTATTTCAAATAAGGAAACTGAGGCTCAGAGATGTTGAGAATCATGTCCATAGTCAAGTGGTAGAAGAAGGTTTTAATCCAAGTCGTTTGACTTCAGGGCCAACTTTATTTTTATTTTTATTTTTTTCCTTTTTTGAAACAAAGTCTCGCTCTGTCACCCAGGCTGGAGTGCAGTGGCAAGATCTCGGCTCCCTGCAACCTCCACCTCTGATTTCAAGCAATTCTCATGCCTCAGCCTCCTGAGTAGCTGGAATTACAGATGTGTACTACCACGCCTGACTAATTTTTGTATTTTTTGTAGAGATAGGGTTTTGACACACTGCCCAGGCTGGTCTCGAACTCCTGGGCTCAAGCAATCCCCCTGCCTCGGCCTCCCAGAGTGCTGGGTGAGCACCTCACCCGACCCTCTACATCAGTTTTGGTTATGGCTCCTACTGAAAAAAATGCAAGCATCTGGCTAAAACAATCTTTCCTGGATCAGAAATGCTTAAGAGAGTTAAACCCCGTGATGGCTGTGTCTCTTCTGGCCTAGTCCCCAGCTGGGTTCACGGCTGGGTCTGACACCTCTGTCCTGATGTGGTATCAAGCTCCCACTTTATATCCAGGGTGGAGGCCTGCCCTCTCAAGCTGCCATTCCTATCTGTGTTTGTTCAGAGGTTTCCTTCCTGCCTCTCTTTTTACTTTAAGATCTTCCCTTTTCAGCAACTTTTGCCTTGATGTCTAATTCCAACTGCATCTTAAAATCAGAACCACAGAGAGATATGGTCAGGTAGAAGCTGATTTCTTATTTTTCTTTATTGAAGACTTGGTTCCCGTAGGACGAATCTGTGGAAAACAGCTGATGCCTCTTAAATCATTCACAGAGGATTAAGGGACTGGCAAAAGAGACATTGGGCTTTCCTCCTATTGAAATGAAGGTCTTCTGAATGTATTAATATTGTATCTGTTCACCACTTGCTAATTCTGTTTTACTAGCAGTCTAATAGCGAGGGAAGCTTCCACTTATCACTCTTTTATAAGCTTGAGGGACACAGAGTCCATATTAGTTTAATGTGCTGTTATGTAGATGTGAACATCAGAATTATGGTTAGAAGGGAATTCAAAACATCCCCCCAGCATCATTCCAGACAGATGAGAAGCCATCCTTTAAAAATCCTCCAGAGAAGAATCTTCCGCAATCAACTATTTTAGCTCATCCCACTGTTTAATCATCCTTATTGCCAAGACATTTTCTTCCTTTAATGCAATCCCTTCTGCTGTAGATTAAATCCATTTCTTACAGGCACCATTAGTGAAGCTGAAGACACCATCATGCGTGTTAGTTTTTAATGTAGACCTCTGCAGAAGAACATTCTTTACTCTTTTGTCACTTTTCAACACTTAGAAACTAACCTTTCAGCTGGGCGCAGTGGCTCACACCTGTAATCCCAGCACTTAGGAGACTGAGGTGGAAGGATCACTTGAGCCCAGGAGTTGGAGACCAAACTGGGCAACATGATGAAACCCCATCTCTACAAAAAATACAAAAATTAGCCAGGCGTGGTACTGCACGCCTGCCGTCCCAGCTACTGGCTGAGGAGGGAGGATCACTTGAGTCTGGGATATCAAAGCTGCAGTGAGCCATGATTGTGCCATGGCACTCCAGCCTGGGCACAGAGCGAGCCCTGGCCACGCACATGGCTGAAACTTCCCATCCATTGTCCGAAAACTCTTGCTTGCCATCAGTAAGTATATCAATGAGAAAAGAGTTTTCAAAGATGTAACTCCATGATTCTCAAACTTGAGTGTGAATCAGAACCACCCAAAAGGCTTGTTGAAACCCAGATCTACAGGCTCCACCCATAGAGTATCTGATTCAGTAGGTCAGGGGTGGGGCCTAAGGATATGGTTTTCTAATTAGTACCCAGGTGACGCTATGGCTGGTGGTCCACAGACCACACTTTGAGAACCACTGGGCTAATTCATGCATGCTTAGGGCAGCATTAATTAGCCTATGGAATGAGCACATACTGTATTAGAATCAGGTGGGAAAGCTTTAAAAATGACATATTTTTATAGGCTTAGGAATCTGGAATTACAATCAACATTGCAGGAAACTCCTCTTACTAAAATTCGAGAACTTGACGACGACTGTGGTGTCGATACTTGAAAGAGATTTGGATAGGCCAGCAGTTCTCAAAGTGTGGGACCTGAATTACAAAGTCAGCATCACCTGGGAACTTGTTAGAAATGCAAATGCGCATCTTTTCTGAAAGATTTTATGCAAAAAAAGAGAAAACAACAAATGTAATCCACATTTTCACAAGCCCGCTCAGTCTTCTGAGGCACGCTGACTTTGGGAACCACTGGCACAGACAAAGCTAAAAGCAAGTGCCAGCCCTTCATTATTTCCCCTGCATCTGCCTCTTCCTAGTTTTGTTTTGTTGTTCTGCTATTTTTCACTAGAGAACATATTATTTTATCCTTTGTCATTTCCTAAACTTTAAGGAGTTGCTATGTTAGTTGGGGAAGAGGGCTTCCCCACAGAAAGGTTCCTGAGTTTGAAGGAAACTTACCTGATTATTAAAAAAGAAAATTTTTTTTTCTAACTGTGGTAAAATACATGTAACATAAAAGCTACCGTTTTAACCATGTTAAAGATACAGTGATGTGGCACTAAGTACATTCATTTCCTACAACTATCCCCACTGTGTATCATCTTCCCAAACTGAAACTGTGTATCCGTTCAACAGTAACTCCCATTCAGTTCTGTATGCTAAAGCTATTCACACCGTTGTGCAACCCGTTGACAGAACTCTCATCATCTTGCAAACCTGCAACTCTGTATCCAGTAAACAAGTCCCCTTTCCCTCTCCACCCAGCCCCAGGCAACACCCATTCTGCTTTCTATCTCTATATGTTACAAATTAACTACTTTGGATACCTCATAGAAGTGGAATCATGTAGTATTTGTCCTTTTATTTCACTTAGCTTAATGTCTTTAAGTTCATGTATGTTATAGCATAATGGGAGATTATCCTTTCTTTGAAAACATTTTAATTGTATTTATATATTTTAGAATTCCCTTCTTTTTAAAGGCTGAATCACATTCTACTGTATGTCTTTTATTTATCTCTATCCATTCATTTTTATCTTTATCCATTCACATTTCCTTTATCCATTCATCCATCCATGACATTGGGTTGTTTCTACTTTTTGGCTACCATGAATAATGCTGTTATGAACATGCATGTACAAATACCTGAGGCTTCTTCCCAGTGTTCCTGGCTGAGTCCTCTGAGGTTCCTTAGACACTGCCCCATCTCTTACCTGAGCCAAATATGGGGAAGATAAGAAATTGATTAATAATCTGTCAAAGTTTAGAATTAAGTCGCTGCTAGGCACATTGGCCCACGCCTGTAATCCCAGCACTTGGGGAGGCTGAGACTAGAGGATAGTACACGCCTATCATCCTAGCTACTCAGGAGGCTGAGGCTGGGGGACCTTCAGGAGCTCAGGAGTTTGAGACTGCAGCGAGCCATGATGGTGCCACAGCACTCCAGCTTGGGCGACAGAGCAAGGCCCTGTCTCTAAAAAACAAAGAACATTTTAAAAATGCTAATTAAATTACTAGTTCAGGTGTGGGTTCTGGGCGCTAGTTAAGTGGTAAGCTTTTCTATCACCCCAAACTCTTCCTCCTGAAAACTCCTTCCTCAAAGTATATTCCGCAGGAGGGGGCACATTCGGTCTCATATAGTGCCAGGATCCTAGTCCCTGGGACTCAGGCCAGCCAAGAGAAAAGCCTGGTCTATACATGGAATGACTGAACCATAACTGGAGCCCAGGATCCCTCAGTGAAGACTGGGGGGGTCCCAGGACATCTCTCCCACCTTGACCCGTCTCCAGAACCAAACTCTGCCTCAGCTCTTGCTGCTTACCCTGACTGCAGCCCCAGAGGTTCCCTCCGTGTGGGGCTCTTGCTGACGTCCAAGGCCCAGCCTTTCATAGTCATTCCTTACCCCTTTCCTGGTCCTGCTGATGGCCAGCTGGGGGGTTTGGCCATGTAGACAGCTCGCAGGGGCCACTCTGGATCTCAGTCCACATCCCCCACCTCCATCCTCCAATGGCGGTGGTGCTGCTGCCTCGCCGGTCTTAGGCCACTGGGAGCAGCGCTCAGAGTGAGCGCTGCAAGACCCCGGCCTGTGCCACCCTGCTCTGCGTCGCATCTGGAGCTCGGGTTGTGCAGGAAGTGGGGAAAAGGAAGGAACACATACTCGCTGGTTGATCAGCAGCTTTGCGGCCTCAGTGCCGGCAAGCCACAGCTGTCCAGGCAGGCCTGCGGGGCTGCAGGGGAAGCTGTAAGATGGAAAGTCTTCTAGAATCAGAAGGTGCTGGGCTGGGGCCAGATGTGTCAAGAGATGCAGAAGAGGTTTCATATTATCCTAGATTCTCACCAGCTGTCTTGGAAACCCACAAATGGGACTGATGATGGATGTTTATTTTCCAAAGGACACTTTCCTTTTATCTTGAATTTGTCATTTAAATTCTTTGAGGGAGAATTAAAAACCCTACTGGATAATGAAAGACAATTCCTGGCAAGGGAAACTTATCGTTCTAGAAATGAGTAGCCATCCCCTTCACCCTCATGTAACTATCCAGATGTTTTGGTCCAGTCGCAAAAGCTTGGATTTGAGCTTTATGTTGAGGATGCTGTGGTCTCCTTGCGTATTGAAGACTGTGCAGGTCAACAAGATAAGCTCCCTTCAGCCTTTCGGGCTCCTGTCATCATAGGAGGAGGAATTCAGAAGACAGTGTTAGGTGCTGGGATCTCTGTTAAAGTCAGTGGAATGTGGAGAGTTGAGAATCAAAGCATTTGCCAGAATTCTGATACTCTAGAGAATTTGCTGTATGAATATGCTATACCAGTATGTCACTTCCAAAAGTGTGTTTAGTATTTTCATCTTTTTTTTTTTGACAGAGTCTCTCTGTATTGCCCAGGCTGGAGTGCAGTGGCACAATCTTGGCTCACTGCAACCTCCCTGGTTCAAGCGATTCTCCTGCCTCAGGCTTCTGAGCAGCTGGGACTACAGGCCCCCACCACCATGCCTGGCTAATTTTTTTTTTTTTTTTTTTTTGTATTTTTAGTAGAGACGGGGTTTCGCCATGTTAGCCAGGATGGTTTTGATCTTCTGACCTCATGATTTGCCCACCTTGGCCTTCCAAAGGGCTGGGATTACAGCTGTGAGCCACCACGCCGGGCCTATTTTCATCATTTTAATATTTATTGAGAGTGATGCATTTATAGCACTGTACTGAAACCCTTTATATAACTGACACCTCTGGCTAATATCTTCCATCGGCCATGCGAACTTCAATTTACATACTGCGTGAAAGCAGTGAAATTTGTGACTTTCAAATACCATTCTTTAGTTGTCAGCAGGACAATAAAGTCTTCAGAATTAGTTTGATAGGCAGTGCTTACTGGGTATATTACTGCCTTTTGCTTCTCTATTGCTACATATAACACATCAAAGAAAATTATATCTTTGGAACCCATTTTCACACACACACACACACACACACACACACATACGGAGCTTGGAAGAGAGAAAAGAGATGGAGCTATTTTAGGAGCCATATTTTCAAAGAATAGCAACTCTCTAAGTGACAAGAGAGCAAGTCGAACCAACTTTATAATTAAAGGATGGTGTAGGTTGTAGAAAGGGATGATACAGGTTTGGAATGATGAATAAGACAGTCCTTACTCTTAATAAGCTTGAGTTCTAGTGGAGTGTGGGAGACCAACATATCAAAATAGTAGTGACCACATGTCCCCAGTCCAAATTTGGGATATGCGGTCCCAAAAGAACCGGTGCACTTTCTGGGGACAACTGGACCACCTGTTTGAAATGTTAGCAGATTTAGGACATGGAGTTGCTGTACTTAGAACAGAAGACAGAGTAAGAAAAGCTGTTCAGGAGGCATGTGTAATTGCTATACAGCCTCAGGGAGGAAGGGCTCACAGCGTTACACACCCCTTCAGACTCCCGAGATGCAGCTAGTTCAGCGCCTACTTCTGACGGTCTACCCTTTGTCAGGTGCTAAACTAGTGGTTGCTGTGCCATGCTCCCAGCCAGCTACACACTTTCCTTTAAACCAGTCACATGTGTGTGTGAGCCGGCCGTCTGGGCTTGGGTCTTGAGGAAACTTCCCTCTTTGGGTTCATACTTGTGTGTGCAAGGAGGCTGTCGGGGTGAAGAGGCTCCAACACTTTAGGGTGGCATCGGGGGCACAGGCTCTCCCCTAAATTCAACTTCAGAAATGCAGAGTTAAAGCAATTCTTTTTATTTATTTATTTATTATTATTTTTTTGAGATGGAGTCTCACTGTGTTACCCAGGCTGGAGTGCAATGGCACCATCTCGGCTCACTGCAACCTCCGCCTCCCAGGTTCAAGGGATTCTCTTGCCTCAGCCTCCTGAGTAGCTGGGATTACAGATGAGCACCACCACAACCAGCTAATTGTTTTGTATTTTAGTAGAGACAGGGTTTCACCATGTTGGGCAGGCTGACCTTTAACATGTAACCCTGTGATCCACCTGCCTCAGCATCCCAAAGTGTTGGAATTACAGGCGTGAGCCACAGCACCAGACAAAGCAATTCTTTTGAGTAATATTGCATATCTATGAAACTAAAAAAAAAAAAAAGAAAGAAAGAAAGAAAAAGAAAAGAAAAAATCCATTTGGCGTGAAGAAGACTGGATATTCCTGGATATTTGTATATTGCTAGTGGTACTAACAATAGTTGTATTTTCTTTTTATTTTTTGAGACAGTCTCACTCTGTTGCCCAGACTGGAGTGCACTGGTGCACTCTCTGCTCACTGCAACCTCCTACTATCGGGTTCAAGCAATTCTCATGCCTCAGCCTCCTAAGTAGTTGGGATGACAGCACGCATCACCACACCTGGCTAATTTTGTATTTTTAGTAGAGACAGGGTTTCACCATGTTGGCCAGGATGGTCTTGAACTCCTGATCTCAGGTGATCTACCCACCTCGGCCTCCCAAAGTGCTGGGATTATAGGCATGAATCACCATGCCCAGCTTGTGTATTCTTATAGAAAAGGAATCCGGCACTATGTGAGAAGGCATCAAACCCTTTAGACCCATTGATTCAATATTTTAACTTGGGAAAATGTACCTCAAAATGAAAACATAAAACACTGATTTTTTTTTCTACGAAAAAGTCAATTGTAGCACTGTAAAATGAACAGTGGGAAACAACCAATACTCCACAATGGAAAAACATTCATTAATAAAATACTTTTAGCCCCTAGATATTGTGAGTATACCAGTAAATGAGAATGTATAGATGAAATGTTTAGTGAAGAAAAGAAGAACATGAAATTATGTGTACACACTGATTACAACTTTGTAAGCTGATGGATATGCCAGTATATATCCAAAGAGACTTTTGAGGCAAGGAATCGCTGTTTGGTGTTTATGAGTTTTTTCTGTTAAGTTACTAGCATTGATATTTTTTTAAGAAGGAAGAGTGAGTACCGCAGGGATGTTAGTTGAACTGTGAGTTTTGAATCTCACTGAATTTTTTGTTAGTTTATGTTATTGAGAGGCATGTTACAAGTAATTTGTGACTAAGAGTGAAAGTGCCATTCTTTGGTTTATTATAATATTTAATAAACTAGAGGTGATTTGATGTTATTTCTACAATGAAGTCATTACCATACACTTGCACTTTGAGATGCTTTCTTTTCTTTCTTTTTTTTTTTTTTTTTTTTTTTTTTGAGATGGAGTCTCGCTGTGTTGCCCAGCCTGGAGTGCAATGGAATGATCTCAGATCACTGCAACCTCTACCTCCCAGGTTCAAGCAATTCTCCTGCCTCAGCCTCCTGAGTAACTGAGGTTAGAGGTGCCTGCCATCACACCTGGCTAATTTTTGTCTTTTAAGTAGAGACGGGGTTTCACCATGTTGGCCAGGCTGGTCTTGAACTCCTGACCTCAGGTGATCCACCCGACTTGGCCTCCCAAAGTGCTGGGATTACAAGCGTGAGCCCCCGAGCCTAGCTGAGATGCTTTCCTTAGTGGAGGCAGAAGGGACAGAGCCACTTGCCGCTTTCTAGTTATTATTGGCTCCTGGTCGTGCAAGTATAAATGTCAGCTGTCATTCACATGAGAGAAGTTGGAACTGACAAACTGTCATGATGTGTATGACAGTCTTGTTCCCTAATCATTCATACCATGCCACCTGATCTCTTTAGTCTCAGGAATAATTACATTTCCTCTTTCCTTCTCATGTGAAAGCCTGCCCACTGGTGTAGGCAGGAGAGAAGGTCCTTCCTACTCTCCCTTGCCAACATGAAGGCTTCTCAGCCAAGATCCCCAAAGGAGCGTGCCCAGTGTTCACTGCAGCTTCCCGGTCTCGAGGATCTCCTCGTTAGGACATCCAGTAAATGCTTGCCTTGAGCTCTCTGCAGCCTTGCATTCTGGGACCCCTTGTTTTCTTGAATTTTTCCTTGGGATTATGCCCGACTCTAGCACATAGGAGAAGCCTGTGTAGAAGATCAGGCAAATAAGGGCTTCCCTTCCGTGTAAGGCTGGCACTTCTGAACTCCCTCGGGGCCACCATGATCCCACGCAGAGAACAGAGAGAGGGGGAGGCAGGATTCAACGCCCCCACCCCTCCACAACAGGGCTGCTTCCCTGCTAGTCTGTCTGGCATCCTGACTCCATAAGGTGGCCCCAGGGCAGGGGACTTCTGACACCAGAGAGACCTGACAGCAAGAAGCCTGCAGAAGCAGCTAGACCCAGCCACACACTCTCTCCCACCTCCTGCCACCTCCTCCCACCAGGAGGACGGGATTGAGAGGGGGGCCTGGGAGCCACTCCTCTGTACACCTAAGCTGCAGCCAGGCCACGCGGAAGGAAGAGAGGCCATTTTCCCTGGAATCGCCTAGCTTCTGTCAGCTGTGTGTGACATGGATGCAAATACAACCCACTTACCTTCCTAGCAGAACTCCCACCCCTGCAGTCAGCTGCAGGAACAGAGGCAGCTAGGATGGTAACGCAGGATGGAGGGGGGGCCTCCCCCACTCCACAGAGGGCTGCAGGAGCCAGTGGGCAGCAGATCTTTAGCCTGTAAAGGAGAAATCAGCCAATCCGAGCCAGGTCGGGCCTCCCCAGCAACACCCTGGGTCGTGTTTCTGTCCTGCAGTCAAGGTGGGTCCCTGACTTCCCTGGTTTTGTGTGATAACCCAGCTATAAACAGGCCAGCCCCGACTGCTGTGGACAGGGGCCCAGGGAGGGCCTGGCTGACCTGTGGCTGGTGGTGGCAGAGATGCCAGTGACCCACAGATTCCCCTGTCACAGCCCCTGGAGGGGAGGCCACTCCTGTTCCTGTGTGCGGCTCTCTACGAAGGCTTATCTCTGTTTGCAATGAGGAGAGACTCCTTTCCGGGGT